TGGCGGGTACTCTCCCCGCACCCTCCTGTCACTGGAAGGGGAGCTGGTAATGGCGCTGGGAAGGTCGAGACTGGCGAACTTAAGTCGCGCGAGAACGGCGATGACGCAGCTCATTACATCGCCGGAGAAAGTTCTTGCTGTGTGTTGCTGACGCTCAAAGTAGGAGCACTATCCTGGTTGAACAATTTTGCCTTGCTTGCTGTATTCTTTTTCTGAAAATTTGTTCGATCTGTGTTGGTTAAGTATCTTGAAAGAAGTTGTTTATTATGACGTATTAGATTCTATCCAGCTTCCTTTTTTGTCATAATTTTTCACCAAATCATTAATGAATATCTGAAAGCATTATTTACTTTGGTTGAACTGCAGTTTTTTGGACATTGTCTTAACGAAGTTATGAATATCTTCTTAGAATTATAATAATATTACAATTTGCGGTTGGTTATAGTTGTCTGCAGCGTCGAGATTACAATTCTTGTGTTCTGCTATTTCATAAATTACTTAAGTATTTCTCAACTCCTTCTCTAAAGTTGTGCCAAGATCATCTTTCTTCATTGCTTCCTTGGCAAATGCAACTCACCGCTCCGACACGCAAACATCGAACAGTGCTGTTTGCAGAGCTACCCGACAGCGGAGCCTTCTCGGCAGACGCCGCCCATTATGGCGAGTTACACGCAGAAGATCTAATGAGGGCGCCGGTCATTGTGCAGAGTTCCTTCCCGCGGCGGCGGCGACGGCGGTCCCTCGCCCCTTCTCGAGACGCTCTCTGGGCTGCTGACTTCCGTCGCTCGGTGGCTGGCGACGCCGCGCAAGTTGTCGCTTTCCATCGACGTAGTGGTGTGGCTAATTTGTAACTTTAATTAGAACTAGAAGCGGCGTCACCGACGTCGACTGTGGCGACTGAGTCCTGCCTTTCGATCCTGCGCCCTTCGGGTTCACATTGCCACCTCTGGGGCCCCGGCTTCACCAGCCATAATTAAGCAACCGGCGACGTTCATTAAATTTGGTAACGAAGCCTGGCCGCACGTGACGCGGTCGGCAGAGTCGGTGACTCGGAGCGAATTGCGTGCTCTTGTTTGCTAACCTTCCTACTTCATAGGCCGCTATTTACCCCGGGTGCGTGGTTCTGATTGTAAAGCCACGTGAAATTGAAGAAAATATGCATGCGATTCTTCTATTTCTATTTATTAAAACGAAATCTACTACAAAGATTTACGGCGCTACCAACTTGCTGTTGTACTTGTGGGGTTGCTCTACGACAGTTCATCTTCCCGTGTTCTGTGTATTTGTACTCTGACGTTTTTTAAGCTTGCTTTAGTTCATAACTTCCGCACCCTGAAGTACATCATATCTGGGGAGAGCATTTAATTTTTTTGGCGTGAACGCTGTTGACTCTGTCACTCTCTCTGTACCTGTATATCTTTATGCTAATTTTTCCAACTCTTTCAAAAAGGTTCTCTTTCCATTTCACGTCTTCTGATGGTCTTAAATGATATTCTTAATTACATCTTACGAAATAACTATATTTTATTAATTCCATCCATCCGCTTTTTAATGCCCACTTCATTCTCAACGCACATGTCTCCGCCTACGTAGTCTATTCAGCTCCATGAACAATCTCGTTTTCTTGTAATTCTTCGTGGGTATACCATACCATCTCCGGCTCTTCTGAACGTAGCTTTCATTCTACCTATTCAGTCTAACGTTCTTCTGCCTCTCGACGTGTGGGCTCCCCTCGCGCCGTCGTTAACCGCTGGCGGCGGTGGCTCCGGTCGCGTTGGCATCTCGAGCTTCCTGCGCGGGGGCGGTGGGATCGCGCATCCCCCCCTCCCTCTTCCTGCGCACGGAAATTAATTCGCCAGGCCATCATTGCGCACGGGCCTTAAATCACTAATGGGGCCGACGGGTCCCGCACTGATAATAAAAATCCGCCATTAATTTTTCCCGCTGCCTCGGCCCTCGATGAGGCGGCAGCAATTATTCCGGGGAGCGGCTTCGGCAGGGGGGGGGGGGGTGACGTCTGGCGTCGCTCGATGCGATCGGGGGCGTGGCGACGGGGGCGGAGGGTCTGCATCGATTTTCATGTTCTCAAATTTTAAGAGAAATGTGAGCCTCCAGATATTCTGCAGTCTCCAGTTTCTTGGTTGTGAAGGACAAGATTCCGTTGCATGTTACGTTATTAAAATTGCCCCCAAACGTAGGTTTAAGCAATTAAAAAAGGAACTTTGATCTTGAATGATTTAGTTTATTTTTTTATTTGTCTTTTCATCAGAAGGTACTTACTTTGTAAAGGGTTTTCTCTGGGTAATGAGGAACTAGAAATTCCCAGAGGGTTATATGTCATTCGTTTCGTATACGTTTGAAGTAATTGCAACAGGTTTAATGTTGCATGTTTTTCACAAATACGCTCTACAAAAGAATGAGAAAAATTCACAGACCTGCATATAATAACGAACAAGTAGTTGGAAAAATTAAATGTTTGGAGAATGCGGAAAAAATACGTTGCAAGTTAGTAATTTCTGAAGTGTAACGTCGACGTGAACATAGCAGTTTCGATTGAAACGCGAGTATTTTATGTTCCTCCATGTTATCGCTTTTGTGTATCATCATGAGAAGTACGTAGATGTTCGCTTTGTGTGCTCCTTCTGCAGAATACAGAGCTAAAATTGAATATGAAAACTTCTAAGCAATAGCGTGTTATTAAATTAATTTTCATAAAATAAAATGAACTATTTATATTGTGGAATTTAGCCTGTTCATGGCTGTTACAGTTTATAAAAATATAAACCTGAGTTTTTTCAGTAACGCTTCTCTCTATCTGCTAGCATGAACAGTTAAATAAATTGTACATATTAAAGTGTTCTTATTCTGTTGCTTCGTGTCACACTGTGCCGTGTAGAAACCTCAATTCTTATATTTCAGTTTTTCACCAGGTATATTGTCTAACTTGACAAATTATTTTGTATCCAGATAGCAATTCGATAGTGATTGAAAGTAGAAAATAATAATTACCGGCAACACTTACGAGCAAATTATATGTTTACATTCGAATTGTCCCGACCTCGCACTCAGGAGAGTTCCGGATAGGAAAACCCTATAAGCCGATGTGTAGGTAGTTGGCGAATCTCTGCACACAGCAGGGGGGGAACACCGCCTTCTCCAGCGATAAAAACATGCACTACGCTTACAAGACTAGCGACATTAGCATATAATCAACCAATAGAACGAAACTGCCCCGCCAGAGAGGCTGCGAAGCAGGGGTCACGGGCGCCGATGAGTAGCTCCGCGAAGCGTCACCTCGCCCAGGAAGCGCCGACAAAGCCGCTCCGCCCACTACGTCTCGCGAGCTGCGATGAGCCTCGCGGAGCAGCGCGGCGGACGCGATGCGGCGCACGGGGCGGCGCGATCAGAGGATACACCCAGGCGCACGCGCGCTGTCGCAGAAAATATATACTGTCGTGTGTCTGTTGCAAGTAGTTCTCCAGCCTGCGTATTAGAAAATCGCACTCTTGCTTCTCTTGGAAATAAAAGAAAAAATTAATTTTAAACGTTTTTCTCTTGTTTTATTATCACAAAATGCATTTCGTACAAGATAATTTTTATTTTCTGAAGCCAAAAATGACCTGAATTCTCAATATTGAAGTGCATTTTATTTATACGAGTATTTATATTAGACATTTTACATATTTGTAGAGCTGAAGTACGAATACCTAATGTTTATCTCACGGTAGTTGTCGACTTGAGCAGAAGTTGAAAGAACGACGAAAAACGAATTATTACACTGGAAGATAATAGAGGTCTACAGCTCTACGACAGGAGATCCTTTCAAACAAATTATTTAGTGACGACCTTCGCACTTGCGACCACTGTATGCAGCCTCGATCTCCTTTTGCGGCTTGTTGAGCAGCGGCGGAGTTCTGAACGAGAGGGCGCCGGGAGCCGGCGTTCGCACCTCGTTATTTTTTGCACGAACGATTCTCAAAGTTTTTCCTCTCGGCTTTTGACTCGGATCCTCAAGGCAGAAATGTGAAGGCTCCCTCTCTCCCTCTCACGCTCTCTTTTTTATTTTTATTATTTTTTGACGACGTAAACACTCCACCAGCTCGACGCTCTTTCAGGAGAAATATTGGAAGTTTCACAACAAGGGATTCGTGGAACGTACTGAATCCGAAAGTAGAGCCATTGTTCGTCGGTCGCCCATGTGAAGTTGGTAACGTCATTGCGAGAAACTACGTTCGCTCGCGTAGCTCAGATCGTAAACTCACGCTCAGTATGCTCTTTTTTAGCTCTCTCGGAATATTTTAGTCCAACGCACGTCGTTCATGAATAAATCCGTTGCTTTTTCCAACTCGTGCTATGGAGGATACCTGTTCATCAAAGAATTCGAATGTCACCCTTCCTTACTATGTTATGTGGCGCCTCTGTAATTCTGTTACGCTTCGCTGCTCTGGTGCCTAATTCAAAAGTTTTTGGTAATATAACGCTGTTATTTGGACATTAATTATCATTTGTTGGTCTCTTGAATTATATTATTTTGCTCCTGACGTGATTCCACTAGGAAATATGTCAATGATAATAGTGGCGAAATATTTAGAGTAATCTTGAAGGACCTTCAATTAATGTAAACTGCTTTTTATTTTTATTTGAGTCGATTGATTGTCTTGTTACAAATGTTTAGTTTTTAGTGATCAGTCCTCAATTTCGATATTTGAACATGAAATCAATGATTCTACTACCACATAAAGAAAAAGTAAAGGACTTTTTTGTGTGTTTCTTTCCACGAATCGTTAAAACTTATTAATATGCAGGTAAATGAAATTTCTTAGTATCAGATATTATATTGATAGGTAACAGGCGGAGAGAACATCTGGAGATTGTTGCAGGTGATGCTTTGTCTTTAGGAACATTTACAATGGGGATAGAAAATAATACGTGTTCTAAGAAAAATCCTGTTTCTGAACTACTGTGTGGCTGGGATTGGAACGATGACTATTTTTTTTTCTTTTTTTTTCGGAGATATGACTTTGATCACAGAATTGTAAAACGTTATGAGTTCATGAATTCATGGATGAACAAACGAACGAAGGGACAAACGTATTCATTATCATCTCTATTACTACGAGTTTATTATGTGCCATAATCTTCATCCTTCGTAAAACAGTGATTTTTATGAATGTTTTGTATAATCATGAATTATACCTCGTATGTTTTATAAAATGGTTTCTGTTTGTTGGGAAATGTTTGTGAGAGAGTCTATGCGTTTCCTACAAAGGTATTCGTTAGAATGACTTTCGTACCATGTTCACGAACGTTGCGGGGGAAGTGACGAGGCCTAGCGCGTGTGTGTTTGCGCGCGCTGACGCGCGTCCTCCTGGTCGCAGGTGCACTGGGTGCAGCAGCAGCACGAGCGGCGCCGGCGGAAGAGGGACTTCAGCTTCCCGTCCTTCAGCGACTACCCCGCCTTCTTCGGGCAGGCGGCCGAGGCCGAGAGCCTGCACCGGCCACAGTACCGGGGCATCGGGCCGTCGCACCTCTTCCCCGACCCGCTCTTCAAGGAACAGTGGTATTTGGTGAGTAATTTTCATTTGGTATTAATTAAATTAATTAAATTATTGGTAGGCATTTGGTATTAATTAAAAAAACAGTTGTTTAAGAAATTTCGTTCTCAGATTATATATATTCCACGGGAATTTTTTAAATTTTTTTCTAACAAGAGTCGTAAATGGAATGTTTATGGCATAAAACGGATAATTTTTTTCGTTTTTTCCCCCCAAGTAATACAAAATTAATATTCCTAAAAGAAAATATGATGCTTAATAGAAATAAATCAAAATGTGTTGGTTCAAATTAAGGCATTTGGAGAAATATTTTAAATATCTGCGCATATTAATGACCAAATATTGCACAATTTCATTGTGCGTTTCAAATGTCATTTATTTAAAATTGTTAAAGTACATTGATAACTATTAAGTTAGTTAATGAATTGGTAAATGATTAGACGAGTTCTTACAAATAGAAGTAAACAGAAAACGTAATGTAATTAATGTAATGATAATGTATCATACTTATCTCTATTTTTTATTTTACACATACCCGCACACTTACACGAACATTTGAGAAGTCAGTCGAGTATTTCATTAAAATTTATGAGAAGGGCAATATTCATTATTATTTAATACTCATAACTCTAGTAGGGAACTAAGGATATATTGTTTCATTTTGAAGGACGATAAACATTACTTTCATGCGACATTGCATTAATATTACATTGAATATTTTTGCGTTTGGATTGTTTCAGCTATATTATTACACTATCAATTTATTTATTTGCTTCTGAACTCGTGTTTTTACAAACTGACACATTCACGTAATGTTTGTAACGGTTTCGTAAAGTTCTAATAATCATATTGCAACTTGAACACTACTATTCCCTCCGTCATCTCTTACAAAAATCTTTAGAACGTATTGCTACAATGGCTGCAGACTATATTTATTTTCTAACATCCACTTAATAAACTTTAGTGCTAAATCTGTGAATAACATCCGTTTATAAAAGCTGCAATTAGATCGTCGTGGTGCCATTGTCAGGAGTTTGAAGTGATGACACATTAAGCCCATGCTCTCAAATAGAGTCCCGAATACATATTGATTGAGTCCTAATATAAAATTTAAAACGAAAATGGCAGTTGTGTTTTTTCAATGAAATTAGGGAGACGTGAAAACAAGTTGATAAAATACAAGTAGTGTAAATTAATGGTTTGCGTGTTCGTTGACTCAGCTAATAATTTATTTCCGTTTATTCATTTTGAAAATGACTCCCTGCTGCATAGAAGAAACGTAAGCAGCAACAGCAGTAACAACTCTGTTTCACTCGCTCTGCCCGTAATGAGGCACGAGGACAGACTGCGAACTGCGTTGGTCTTATCAGGTGAACTTCTAAAACCGAAGCAACGGGAGGCGCACAAACGAGAGAGAATAAGACCGACACATCAATCGGGGAATGTCCATTTTGAGGAAACTTCTGAGTACGTTTTCGACGCTAATGTTGACAGATACACAAGCGGACGTACAGTCGTTCTCGATCAAAAGAACTCATCTTATCAGGGTCCGCCAAAAACTTTATTTCCTTCAATATCTTGAAAACAACATGTTCGCCATTACGTAACTTTACTACATATACATATGAATATACGATAAAATAAAAATGTAAATTACCCAGAAAATGAAAAGTAAAGAAATGTTTGAGGCTTGAAAGTCGTTCTTAGCCTTGTTAAATTATTTCAAAATGTATTCCTTAATAATACAAGTACATTAGTTTTATGACTTAAAATTTGACATCTCGTTAATAATGAAGACCCACCTCGTTATTCAACGTAGTAGTTTTTATTTGGTAGTACTAACTACGTTTCTTTTCTGTTTGGTATTTTACAACTGAAATACAAATTCTCCGCATATTACCACAAACATACATGAACCAGTGGTGTCGGAAGAGGCGACCGTGCGCACCGCCATTACCCAGTTTGCAGATTGCGCTGCTCCGTTCGTTTGTCGACTACATCAAGACTTATGCGCAAAGATACGGCATTTCGTAATATAAACAGCACCCTGCATGGAACATAGATTTGTCGAAGAGCACTCCGGCGCCGCCGGTGCCTGGCGTAACACCCGGCGTGCCCGAACACCACCGTCGTTGCCCCCGCCCCGCCCCGCCCCGCGTCACACCGCCCCCCCCCCCGCCATGCGCCGCCCGCCCCGCCCCTCGCCGCTCCGCCCCCCCGCCATGCGCCGCCCGCCCGCCCATCCCCGCCCGCCCCGCCCCGGCCGCCCCGCCCCGCGCCGCCCCGCTCCGCTCCGCCCCGTCCCGCCCCGCCCCTCCCCGCCCCGCCCCATCCCGCGCCCACACCGCGCCGGCCCCGCAACCTTGCGACCACGCATTTTCACGCACGCGCTTCATTTCGCGCGGATTCTGTGCGTTTCGCGCGCTCGCTGTAATGATATTTGCGGGCTGATATTTATTCTGGTATTTACTCGCGTAAATCATCCTTATTCCGAGGCGGGAGTGCGGGGCGGCGCGCGGCGCAGCGGGGGCGGGGGCGGGGCCGGAGGCGGCGGCCTGGAGGTAAACAGCGCACAGATGTGCTGGGGCGCGATAAAATGCGGCGCGTCCGCCGCCCAGCGCAGCGCGCCGCGCCAGAAAGAGAAAACGGCCGAGTCGCTGTATGTTGTGGCGTCAGCCGCAGAAGCTCGAGAGCAATAAGACGTACAGGATCGGAGATGAAGTGCGTGATTCAATCATGCATCCTAATATCCGTTTTAGTAACAGCAAGTTTTACTTTATTGAGCAGTTTGTTTCAAGAGAGTTCACGGATAATATCTTTCCCTTTTATGTAGTTTTTAAGACTCTTCAGAGGACTTTTAATATTCAAAATAGAAAGCGGCGCTCCAGAAAGGATTTTAGTAATATTGTAATATTAAGAGAAAGATCTTCTCCAAAAGGGTTTTCAGATTGCGGCCGTGAGTGTTTCAGAGGAGAGATGGATGGCGATTAGCATTATGAGAGATGGAAGAGTTGCGGGTTGACGTATTTCCCATTCCGACAGTAAATGGATTAACTAGAACTCTGCAGGACTCAATTCCCTAGTGACGTCACTTAATGAAGTTTGTTGTTTGAAGATATGCCCGGAAGTGCTAGAGAAAGTATGTGTGGAAACTTGGGGAATACTGGTTACTGAAATATTTTAACCAGTTATCAGTACTCACTACGAAAATAAATCTATTGGTCAAACTGTTTAGAAGTATTACTACCGAAACCCTGCCGACGTTGTTCTGCCCTTTATCTCCCTTTTTCTCTCTTCCCTCTCCCTTTCTCTCTCCATCTCTCTCTTCTCACTCTCACTCACCATCTCTCTCACCGGCTCCCTCCCTCGTCTCTGTCTCTCCCTCGTCACTGTCTCTCCCTCAGTCTCCCTCTCCCTCCAGTCTCTCTCTCCCTCCGTCTCTCCCTCTCCCTCTCTCCTCTCTCTCTCTCTCTCTCTCTCTCTCTCTCTTCTTCTCTCTCTCTCTCCCCGTCTCTCCATGTCACACAGCAAATGTCAACAACAATGAAGCCAGGTGAAGTGCAATTTGAAAGAAAAATTGAATTAAATGAAGCGCAATTCTGTTCTGCTGCGCCATCTAGTGGAGTTGTAAACAACATTATCAGCACATAAACCTTCTGGGTAAAAAACATGAAGATGTGCCAACTTTCACGGAGATCGGTCTTGCATCGTTTTCATATTGTATGCATGTTATAACCTAATGTGAAAGCAATAACATCATAAATACGCTCTTCCTTCCACAATACTACCGTATGAACAGAACGAGTCAAGTGGGAGAAACATTTGAGAAGGCAACATATTGCAACTCTGTGTACTGCAACCAATACATCGAGATACTTTTGACGTAATGTAGCGCAATGAGATATTGAGCATTCGCCACGACCGTAACATGCTCGAGAAAACGGGATGCTGCCGCACCACATCTCCCAGTGAGCGCCACGGCACCCACAGCACCTCAGCGCGTGTCCCGTCCTCCTCACTGCAGAGCAGCGAAGACGTCGTAGCGCGCCGGGGTCGCTTCCCAGCGGCCGGGGGCGTCTCCGCGGCGGTCGCCACGCACGCCACGCCACGCCACGCGCGCGCGCGCGCAGCCGCCACGCGCGCGCCACGCCACGCCACGCCACGCCGCGCCGCGCACCCTTAATCAAGAGTTACGCCGGGCGCGCTCGCCGCTGCCGCCGGAGGCACGCAAATGCAGGCGCAGCGGCGAGGGGCGCCGTGGCGTCCCCGCGGGCCCCCCTCGCCATTAGAGCGCGCCGCCGTCGTCCGCGGAGCGCGCGCGTGTCGCGCCGCGTGGATGGGCGCCCGGGCCGGCGCAGGCCGTAACTCGGCGGGCAACTCCCGCGCCCGAGACGGACGCCGCTGTGCCCGCAGCCCTCGAACCCCCTCTGGCGCCTCGGACGCGACGCGGCGGCGAGGCGAGCGCGGGAGACGGGTTGGGAGCGAGACGCGTCGTCCGTGCGGGATATACCGTGTGCGCCGATGGTTAGAAAACATTGGGGGTATGAAATGAAAAAAAATATATGTAATAAAATATATTTAAAAAGGTACTATAGGTAAATTCATGTACATATTTGAGGATTGATAGTCCAAAATTTCATGAAATATTTTGAAAAATATGAGATTTCCTCTTTTGTTCAATATTTTCACACATTTTTTTCTCATTTTGTGAAAATTAAAAGAAAACAATGTTATCTTGGACAAGTATTTTCACTTCTGTTTCGTGAATATGCAGCAATGAAGGTAATGTCTTTGCATTGAGAATTGTAATAATAATTAACTTAATTTGTATCGTGACTTTTCATACAAATAAAATTGGCAAATTGGCAAATTGGCAAAATTGGAATACAACAAAACTCAATCTTGCAGTGGCAAAACGAAATGAAATTTGTCCCAATGCAGAGGGCAATTGTCAAGCTAAATATTAATGACGAGTGCAAAGCGAACGCTAAACGCGGGGAAGCGAACGGAAGTAAGGCAGCAGCACCTGCGGGGGTGGCGGAGGTCGGGCGCCGCAGGGGCCTCCGCCAAAGGACCTTGGCGATTACGAAAGTGCGGCCCGGCGCCGCGGTGGTGGGGAGGGAGGAGTGGGGTCGCGCTAATGGGCGATCGGTGTCGCGCGCAGCCCCCGGGCGGGATTTATATCGGCGGCCGCGCTGCTCATTTGCATGGCCGAGAGCGGGCAATTAGCCGGCGCGTACCTGCGCGGCCGTGCGCCCGACGTGGAGGCCCTTCGCGGCCGCCGCCCGCCCGCGCCCCCGCCTCGCCCCTCCCCTCTCGCCACACTTCGCCCCGCCCGCGCTGGCCGCGCCTCGCTCCGACGTTCGTCTTTAATTTACGGCCACCCCGACCTCCGCGAAGATTAGCTTCATTACATAAATAGCGGGTTAAATTTCCCGGCCGCAGATGCCGTGGGCGCGGAGCGGGTGCGGGGCGGGGCGGGGCGGGGCGGGCGGCCCGCGGAGGCGCGGCGCCCGCGGCGGCGTCCCTGCGGAGGCGGCGGTGTCTGTGACGTCGCCTCGGGGGCATTGGCTGAAGGGATACATGCGCTGTCGTGGGGCGATCGATGGGGGGCAGAGGGCGGGCCGGGGGCGGAGGGGTGTAAGTACTGGGCCCAGTAGTGAGATGCTCTGATTACGGGTGCGGAATGGGATACCGTGATTTCGGCTTAGCTATCACAACAGACAAGATGCTGCAGCTCTAATTTGAATAATATTTGGGTTAATCGTGTTGAAAATAGCTACAGGACATTTTTAACGAGATCAGTGATAACGTAGGTCGATTAGGTTGAAGCTGCCAGTGAAATAACTCTAAGGAAAAGAAAATACAATTTTTTTTTTTTTTTTGACTGGTGAAATAAGGGATATCGTGATTTGGCTTAGCTAACACAACAGACAAGATGCTACAACACTAATTTGAAACAATATTTAAATTAATCGTGTTGAAAATAGCTACAAGACGTTTTAAGGAGGTCGGTGATAAAGTAGTCAATTGCTAGTGAACCTGCTAGTAAAACGACTCGAAGGAAAAGAAAAATACAAAGATTTTTAAAAATTTTATTAATAAAAATCGTCCACTTCCAATTCTTAACTAAATTTGTTCGTTTTACCCGCAATGTAAATTTATTTTTTATTTTCTTTCAATCATAAAAAAGGGAAGAACATTGATTTTTATAAATACAATGGTGCAAGATTACTTCGTATTTCTAATTTTATCGTTTCAACCGAATTTCACAAACAGTCTTATTGAAGATGTATTGATGAAATAAATCAAAATAATGAAGGGGCAATACTCGTAAGAGAATGCGCAAATTTTCGGGACGGGTCACGCAATACCCGTGCAAATCACGGACAGTCACGCGAAGCCATAGGTAGCCACGTCCGTAGGTGGATGCTAGAAATGAGAAGTGAATACGTACAACTCATTCGCGCGAGGCCAACGCGTGAAGGGAGAGGAAGAACGGCGCGCGGTGCGGAGAGAGCGGCGGAGGCGAGGCTCCCGGAAACCGCGGCGCCAAACTCACCGCGCCTGCCCCGCTCACGACGCTTCAATGCCGCCCACGCACCGCCCCCGCCCCCCCCGCCCGCCCCGAGCGGAACGTAATTTCTCATTGTTCAGAATCCCTCCACCCGCAGCTTGGATACGTAACGATCGGCAGCGCGCGGCGACGTGAGAGGCGCGGCGGACAGCGGTGGCGGCGGGGGGAGGGGGGAGACAGCCATTACTTGCCGCCGGGGTCATACGAGAGTCGTGGAAGCAGGTTTCGCACTCTTCTTTCGGGCGAAAAACGAATTTGGAAGACGTTGATTAAATGTGTTATTTTGGACACTCGAATCTGAAAATACCTTAAAAACAGAACGGTAACCTTTCTGAATATGCAGGACTCTTATCTAATGGTATATTTTCAGTTAATGATATTTTACATTGGAAAAATGGGAGATTTGACCGATCGAATGGCCGATCAGAAGTGAGAATGAGATGGATGTAATGTTATCGTAAAAGATGCCGTAACGGGGTCGGAAGATAAAATTGAATATCTACCACAGGTATTGGAAGAAATGTGAGTAAAAGATCTCTTACTTAAAATAAAAAGATCAATCAATAATAAAACATTGGTTTTATTAATTTCGTAATAACTTAATGGTACTCAGTGAATTTGTTGTATACTATTTAAAAATATTATTCCGTAATGATCTCAAACTAACGCATTGGTTTGAAATATTCGAAATACCTGTATTAAAGGGGGGCGGAAAAATTGAATTACAGCGGAAACGTTTCAGTTTCTACACTTTCATTACCTATGTACAAATTTAAAACAATTTCTACTGCAATTCAATAAAATATATTTGGTCTATCTAGTAAGCTTCCATAAATCTAAAATTTGTTGCGCTGAATAGACCTTATAGCTTGGAAAAGTTGTGAAATCCAAATCCTTTAGGGCGATTGAATTAAGCGGCAGAGTACGTTTTGAAGAGTATTCAGCAACATGTGAATGGTACGGCGGCAAGAATGTCGCTGTGGACGGCACATAAATTAAGAAAAATATAAGTGAAATATGCTAGACGATATTACAAATTGTGTTTGAAATAGCAGCATAGATTAGGTACCGGATTTGGGATGAGACGAATTGTTCGATGCAGTCAGATCATAAGATCCCTCCAATAGCCGAACTGCCATCCCATTCGTGGAAGGCGGGTAACAAATGAAGGTTAAGAATTCAAGAGAAAAAAATAAGATTTAAAAGTATGGCTTGTTCGTCCAATAGGACGTTCGTATCTATTCGTTTTGCACATTTAGCTCTCGTCAAAATCGGAAGCGTCGTCGGCCCCGAGCGCTTTGCGGCCGAGGCTGCAGCCGGGGGGAGGGGGGGAGGGCGTGGCGACGGGCGAACGCGAGAGTGCCCGGCGCCGCCTCGGCGCTTCGCCCCATCTCCATGACAAAGCGGCCATTGTGGGAGGCGACCGCGGCGTTAGCGTTCGCGCGGCCGCCCCCGCCCCCCGCGCAGGCGGGCGGTGGGGCCCTGGGTTCGATTCGCCACGCAGCGATGGGGCGGCGTCATCTCCGCTTCGCAGAAAATTACACGCCCGATTTACGCACCAGATGGAACAGATTCCTGCAGTTGGGGCGCCGGGGAGGCGAGGCGAAGAGGAGAGGAGAGGGCGCTGCGAGGCGCTTTGCATTCAGATGCCGCGCTTGGAGGGGGCGATAAGGGATGTGGCTGGCAGACGTGGCACCTTCACTTTCTGCGGGTTAACGCGATCGCTACAAAGTCTCCATCAGTGCATTCGCCTAGTATTTGCAATTCGTAGTAAGGTACCAACTTATCCGTTTTTTTGATTCTTCAGTCTGTAACTTGCATTATACTCGTTTCAATGAACACACACACTCACACATACACACACGTGTGTGTGTGTATAAGTGGTGGGATTAATCTGACTTTTTCTAGTGAGCGGTGTTCTCAAGCCTTAGCTCTGTTTTCATTTATTACCCATGCCTGGCGGTCAGGAAGACCTATTGCGACCACAGCGAATTCTCTTCACCGTAACTAGTATACTTCGTCAACCTGAGCATTTATTTCATCACACAGCTGTAGACGCTCAGACGATTCTAGTGGAAAGCTACACCTCTATATTTGCCCCGACAGGGAATCGAACCCGGGATTACACCACGGAAAGTTAGCACGCTGACCGAGACATACCCGAGGGTCCCACCCTGTTTAGTATCTCAATTATTTGTGTTTTTACATTCTGAAATATATTTGTTTTTTTAAATAAATCTTTTTCAAATAGACATTAATTTTATTTACAATAGTTAAATATTACATAAATTATTATTAGTATTATTAATATTATTATTCCCGCCCTTGCTACTAATATTAAGGTTTCAGATATATGTTTCGTAAGACCGGCAGACAGATAAAAGCAAAAAATTAATATACAGTGGAGGTAAAAGCAACTTTAATTTTCGCGAATGGCAAATTGTTTATTCTTCGCAGAACATGTCGTATAATACACGCGCGTTCCAAGTCCGTCCCCCCTCCGGCAGACAAACGCTGCCAAGGTCAGGTC